GAAAGTAACGGTAATCTAATTACCGTTTTTGCAATAGTAATCCCTTACTTTACTCGTTACTTGAAAAAAGTAATCGGATTACAGTAACGCGTTACTGCCCATCTCTGATTACAAGTCCAACCACTCCATCCTGCTCTCAGACAGACAGCTGTAACAGCTGGCTGCCTTTGTCTGGTCAGTCTGTGGTTTTTCCTGTTAAAAGCTGCTTGTTGACTGGATGTTATATAAATACAACCTCAGATCTCTGTGCACGAGATTTCTCCAGATTCTTGGACTCTCTGGTGATTTTAACTACTGTTGATAATCAAGTTTTTCCACAATTCGTGGAGTTTTTTGCACATTTTTTAAATCCTGCCTCTCAAAGGTCTCTCTATATCCAGTCATGTTACTGACCGATAGTAAGTAAGGAGCTAGTTAACCAAACTAGGTGAAAAACCTGTTTCTTCTCAGTGCTGCTCAGTTTTCTGCCGTTTTGTTGCCCCCATCCCAACGTTTTGCACAGATGTGATAATGATGTATAAGAACGAGCTACTTCTTTCATGAACAGGGTTTATAAAGCTGGTGTTCACTGAGCAGACGTTAATAAAAGGAAACGAACCACAGCCAGTAAATTTAACAGCTGGAATCATGAAACAAGTACAATCAGACACGTTTTGAATAAAATGAATAAATTCATTTTAATTTTTTCAGCTGAACAAGAGCTCAGTGTTTACACAAACAGAAACATGTAAAAGATTAAATATGGCGCTCTCACCGTCAGGATTTCGTTGTAGGTGGGGTTTAATGTCCTCTTTTTCACACTGGTTTTTCTCTTTCCCAGCTTAGTTTTGTCTGGAAGAAGATAACATTTCACATACCTGTGAATGCACAGCAGAGTTAAACTCTTGTTCTAAACTTGATTTACTTTGTGAATATTTGACACTTTGTGTCAAGAAAATAAATCTTTAGCAAACGTGATTCATGTTTCAAACTGTTGGTTAAACGTGGTTCAACGTTCAGCACTTACGGGTCACAGCGATGTTTCTTTCTGTCAGCTGAGGCCAGATCTCTGCAGTGCATCACAAAAACATGAAGCTCTCCAAGCTTCTGGATGTAGTTCACAGCAAACTGGATGCTTCCCTGGACGCTGATTTCAGCAGAGTCTGCAGGACAAATGCTGCTGCTGACCTGTTCAGTCAATCAGAGGAAACAAAAAACCTCTGATATTCAGGCCTTTTTATTTAAAGTGAAAACTGTGACTTTTGCATTGTATGTTATGTTTATTCACTCTGTAACAGGTTCCAGTCTATCGCTCCCATATAACAGCAACATTGCATCTGCACATTAGCAAACAAACCAAACTACCAGGTTTTGCTTTCGAATCTTTAAAAAGTGACAAATCAGCATTCAGTCTTTCAATGTAATCGACACATTGTGTCAATAGGAAGCATTATGTGACATACAGAGGACGTTAGACTATACGTGGAGCTGCTGGTGTTTGTTTCAGCTCTCATGCTGGTCTCCAGAGGGCCTCCACTGTCCTTCTGTCCAAGCAAAGAGAAGCACCAGGTCAGACACAACGTACAGCTCCATCCATGCACGAGTCGACCAAGGCTAATTTACCTTGTTGTACAGAAGGACGGGTTCTGACACGCTGCTCTTCATCAGCCTCGAGCTGCAGAGTGTGGAAGCTTTTGGTGGAAGAGAGGAAGTTTAATATTGTGCAGTGAATACAAACGTATGCTGATGTTGAAATCACGGCTCAGCCATCTTTTGCATCCTGATTAAAATGTGTATAAAGATAACTTCATGTTTATCTTTATTACCGTCCATACTTAGATGCATTCGTTGGCTTGAACTACACTGGGTTCTCTGGGAACCACGAGAAAGTACTTAGAAAGGTGGCGTCAAGATTTATTTTGTTGTACGTCTGAAAATCTTTACCGAGCAGCCACATTTACATCCTGACCTACAGATCAGCTGCACACACTGAAGTGTGACTGCAGTGATATGTACTAATGATACTGATTCAGTTTTAAAGGGGGCTGTTGCGCGTGCAGTGATGGTCGTTACTCGTTTGTGAGGTCAGGCTCAGACTTTCCAGACTTTCGGATGAAGACCTGCTCCGTGAGGATAACCGTCTCAGGGCTGGCGTGACGGGACTGGAGCTCCTCCTGGAACCTACCACAAATAAAAATAAAAAATCAGCTGCAGGAACCAACACCGAGCTGTTGATATGCAAAGCAACAATTATTTATTTCTGTCAATCAACATCAACAATAAACAAAACAAATTACTTTTGTTTGATCAAATATATTACAATCAAAATCAGATTTACATGTAAACAAAAATCACTGTAGAGACAAACAAGTCTGTGTTTACTTTACTGTCAGTGATGTAACAGTCAGAAAGAAAACAAAAAGGAAAAACTACTTAAACCACTCACACTCACACACACACACTCATAGGGTGGTCTATCGGGTTGTGGTCAGGAGTCTGTCATGAAATTAATATCCTTAGTATCCTTATTCTCTTATTATACAGTTTTATGTACTTTAATAATGAAGGCTTGTAGAGCAAGGCCACTGTCGACTCACAAAGTGCTCAGCCAGACTGAAAAACAGGAAGTTTTAGTGCACAGCCATATTAATAGATAAGACACAGAAAAGAGGAACTTTGCCATATAAGCAATGTTTGAAACTGTGTGACGTGTAAAGTACCAAAATCAAACCTATATGAGACACAGTTTATGATTCTAATGTTAGAGCTCTTGCAGCTGGTGTTTGGGTTGTGCAGGCGTCTCTCTTCTGGAAGATGATTGAATAAAAAGAAATATAAAATGTTTTGACTACTATGAGTCGGGTTTTCTCTGTTCTATCATCGGGTTTAATAAGTGTCTGTGCACGGCTGCACAGTCAGGTTGAAACAGGAAAGTGCCATCCCCAGACTGTTCCCACACAGCTGGGAGCAGTTGTCCTACTAGGAGGCCAAGAGCAGCTCCTGTAAAACAACCCGACATCATAATCCCACCTCCATCAAAATCTACACTTGGCAGAGGACAGTTCACCCGGCAACTGCGAAACCCAGACTCATCCATGGGATTGACGCTTCGATGCTCGAGATTCCAGCGGCAGCATGCTTGACATCAAACAGCTGACACTTTGCACTTAGTGACGTCAGGTTTGGATGCAACTGCTCGGCCATGGAAACCCACTCCATGAAGCTTTCTACACACTTTTCTTGAGCTAATCTGAAGGCCACGTGAAGTTTGGAGGTCTGTACGAATCTGCAGAAAGTTGGTAACCTGCAGTCCAAGTGGTGCAAACAGAGGAAGATAATGAAAGACCTCTCTCGTCCGGAAAATGGACTCTTCTCACTGTTGAGGTCAGGGAAGCACTTCCACTCCCTTAAGGCCAATAAGGTAAAGAGGAGGAGCTTCTTCCCCAGACTATCTGAGCCTGAACCAGGTGCAGGACTGGACTCTACATTGTTCTGCACACCACTGCACATGCACTTAATAACAACTGTACTCTGATCTGGTCTCACTCATCACATCACTCTATTCAAGTATTTGGGATGTGCTAAGTGAACTTTTGGCATATAGTGTATTTATCACCGTGAGAGTCTAACAACAGCTAAAAACTAAGCAATTATTCTTCAGTTATGGACAGAAATCATTCAAAGAAAGGTTTATAACAAGGATTCATTAAGAAAACAAATAGTAAAAACTGTGATGTTGTGTGCTTTTTGTGTGAAAACAGAAAACCTAATATTGAGATAATATTTGTGTCTGTCAGTCATGATCTTGATGTAAAAGCTCACTGAATCTGCCCACAGCAGACGCTAGCTGAGTCTGGACTGGAGTGTCTGTGTTTGTTTTACACCAGTGAAACTGTCACTTTGGTGTCCTACAAAATCTCTAAGTGGACTCTGTGGTCTGTGTCGATCATCACTCTGTGCAGTCAGTAAACAGAGGGACCAGCAGCTTTCTGTGGCCTAACATAGTGCTGCTGTCTCAGGGTTTAAAGCGAGAGCCTTCCTCAGCACTGCAGGATTCCTGTTGAATTACCTTTTGGTGGCAGGTCTGAGATCTTGTTGATTCCTTCATCATCTTCTTCAAATGTGAAAGATTCAGATTTGCTGGGACTTTGAGCTGGTAACATATTGACTGTACAGCTGCAGGACTGCAGGAGCTCCTCAGCTCGTCTGTCTACACTCTGAGACTCTGTGTCTGTTAGCACCGTGGTTTTGTATGAAGATGTTACCGTCTCTCCATTTGATTTTTCTCTGTGATCAAATGATTGATGATGTGAGACTGAAAGGAAACTTCTTCATTACTGAGGCTTCCTCCTACAGATGTGCTTATACTGTCTGATCTGTGGGTCTGTCCTCTTGAAGAGTGGAGCTTGATTACCTTGGAAGAGGAACTTGTACATCCCGTTCTTGCTTTTGGGACTTGAAAGGGTCAAAAGATATGATGTTCTCCTGTGGTCCAGAACTCTGAGCCTGAGTCATCCGTGTCCTCACAGATGAGGACTGGAGCAGCTCTGTATGTGTTTGTCTTCATCTTTTCATGAATCAGCAAAGACGCTGTGTTCAGTCATTTGTGATGACCCGTCAGCAGTCTCCTGCTCTGACACAAGCACAGGATTGTTCTTTATGTTGTTTACATCACAGCTGCACTGAGATCCACGTTGCATTTATATTTCTCTCTTGGTTGCTGCACACCTATCAGCATATTTGTTACAGCGCTGCCCCGTGTAGCACATCTGGCCCAGATGACCTATTGTGCCGTGTCTGAACTGTCATTGTTATCTTTGGTCGTTTATTTCTGTGAAAGTTTTCCAGACCCAAAGTCATGCCGTGCAGATTAGAGCTCTGGAATGTACATCTCTGTAATTCCCCAGCGATGCTGGCAGCCTGGTATTTGGATTTCCTTTGAACAACCCCTGAGAAAATCTCTGCTCACTGCTCAAAGCTCATTTTACAGCCAGTGATTCAGAGAATTCAAGAGTCCAGCTCAACGTTGTTTCAACAAGTAAAAGTTTGTTATTTTGGGGGGATTTCTGAGTCACAATAAGGTAAAGTTGTAAGAAATAAACAGCCAGTGTGAGCATCAACCTGCCGTCCAGCCGCTGCTCGTGTCAGACATGCTGTTTATGGCCAGTGTTGGGAAGGTTACTTTTAAAATGTATTCC